TATATATATACATATATATATATACATATATATATATATATATAAATTTATGAAAATAATCTACATACTAACTATATATAAGGATTTTATATCATTTAATTACAAATTCTTTTATTAGAAAAAAATTATTTTGTTACAAATTATCTTATATGACAAATGATTTAGAATCTAATTCTACTATAATGGGCTTACCTACTTAATTTTTTAATATCAAAAGTAAAAGTGAAATTGTTCTGATGATTTTTTACTAGCATAGAGACAAAGTCTTAAGTGAAATTTTGTTGTCTGATAATTATAATGTATTATCTCCAATCTAGCATTTTTATTATAAAAATAAAATAAATTTATTAACTTTTATTAAATTACCTTATAAGTCATATTTGTTATAATTTTTAATTTTTTTATTTATCAAAATTATAATAACGATACCAGAATTCACCTTATATATTTTACACAATTATAATTAGTTGATAATATATAAAAAATTCTACGTTGATTGTGCATATAAATTGTTGGAGTGATTAGTTAGATTAAGCTTATCTTTTGTAACAATACATCTTAAATTTAAATTATTAGTTCCTATATAATATCTCTCGTGAACCTCATAGTTGTTAAAAACCTCACGTGTATATTATAACAGATGTTAGATGTATCACAATCATTATGAATTCAATAAAATTGACGGCCATTATTTACATATAATAAATTTGTGACAAATGGCAAAATCTTGCTTTCTTCAATTTACTTAATTACAAATCAACCCACCTATTAAGTTCGGTGTTATTTTCAGATAAAATCCTTGTGGCAAATTATTAACAGCCTTAAAAAAATAATATTAACTCCTTCCATTTTTTAAGATTTTTTTTATATCAATAGTATATAAATCATAATTATAATTAATAGTATATCTTTTTCAATTAGTATATCTCTTTTTCCATGGTGTAAGTGTAACACAAACGACCCAGTTGTCATCCACTAAAATAAAAATGTAAATAGAGTAATTAAGAAGATGCGAACTCAAAACCCAAAAATATCTAAGACACTGTTGTTGTACAGTGACCGATGGTCGATAGATTTTCCCCCTCACCAATTCAAAACGACACTGAGAAGGACAACTGAAAGGCAAACACGTTCTATTTTATTAAAAACAGAGAACCAGAGCACTGTAAATATATATAACATTTTTTTATATATATAAAAGAAAAAGTATACCATGAATCTTGTTCCTCACGGAGTCTATATACGATGCTTACAAATGGGAATAACAACAAACAAAATCATAAAATATCAGTTCGTGACATAAATGGGGAGAATTTTTACGGCATACCAACAAATGGGGTCTTTTCTTGATGTTAACAAGCTAACAAAATACAATTTAAAAGACACTCACAGATATTTTATTTAGCCCCAAAAGATGAGACAGACAACAAAACGTGCGCTGGTGTGTGTTTCTCCATTTGCAATGTCCAGAGAATCCCCACATTTCACAATATCCCCTGTACAAATCAATAATCAGGCAATGTCTATGGCAGTGACTGGTACGTGTCCTTATAGAATTGAAGAGGCAAACAATGACCAAATACAGTTGATCATGTGCCTACAAATAAATGAATCATTTAGACAAAATCAGGGTATGCCATCTTTGGATGTGACATTGTGCAACGTTTCATGTCCATATAGGTGACATCTGGTGAAGTCTAAGTTGATCTAACACCTATTAATTAGAAAATTGAATAAAAGATAAAATATCACAATAGGGAGGAACTTGCTCGTGGAAGTTGTATCATAGGAACAAGACAATAAAAAATGAAGCAGCATAAGGAACAACGAGCAGTTGGGCGCAATAAAAGCACAACACGGAGGAAACCAACTGACCAATTTAATGGTTGTAGCTGACGAAATTTATATGCTAAAAATGACAGCGCAGTAGTGTGTTTGGCCACAAAGACCCTTTCATTCAATAAATCACAGACAAACTTGTGTCAACCACTCAACCTGTTTGAATTCCTTTAAACGTGTCACTGTTTCTTTTAAGAAATTCAGTAATTAACCACTCATCACGGTCAAGAATGTTATTGAATTCCACCTTTAGTTTGCAATGAAGCTTTTCATTTTCAAGAAGGATGCAATGCCAATAAAAAGCTTATATATGCATACATGTAGTATGTAAGAAAGAACTGAATATTACCACTTTACAATAATTCATTTTCATTTATAAAATACTCTAAACAATCCGTCTGCATTTCTCCCTTTTCTCCTATACTTGCTAGTTGCTACTGCCCTTCTTTCTACACTAAGTTAAAATTACAAAAGCTCCAAAAACTATGGCGTGGCAGTGATCACCTTTTGCACAATATATATATCATAACTACATGATTACTATGTTTCTGTACACGGGCACAGGTTCATCGAAGAAGAACAATGCCACCAAGGCACCAACTATGGATCACTCCCAACCCATCAACATCTTCCAAACTCCTTTCTCAATCTTGTTTCTTGGAACAGATAAACCCTCACCTTCATCAAGCAAGATTCTGTAAACTTCCCACTCGCGATCTCCAATCACATGTCTTCCAACTTCAGCCTGTTGAAACAATTAGTCAGAAAATTGACAAGCTGTTAATGACCATTCTCAGTTTCATTTTGCCCTATCTAATTTTGCGAACGTGGTTCTAGAAATAAGAAAAAAACTCTCAAGGCACTTATAACTTGTATCCAAACATAATCTTAGATAAAAATTAATTGCGAAATTCGAGCACACATGGAAAGTGGAAAATAAACCTTATGAAGTTACAAAGAGCGATCAGATGAGTAAGTACCGAAAAGATGCAAGGGCCAAGCATTTTGAGAGCAAGAGTGATATCATAAAAGACAAGAGGTCGTCCTTTGCCAGACAACTCCACAGGGTTTGCAACATGCAGCTCTGTATCAGGACCCCTGCTTACAATAGTTACTCTGAGAGGACGAAGGAGTTCCATCCTAAGGCGCGACGACAAAGACTTTTGCTTGCTTGGGTCCACTATCTTTTTCCCATCCGATTGCACGATGAACAAGTCGATCTCACATTTTCCTTTAGGTTTTGTAGAGAATCGCCCGTAAGAAATCTGACAAATTAGGTCTAGTTTTAGAATACTTTATAAGATGACCAAGAAAGTATAAGCATGCCATTGTTTTTGAGTTACTTGGAACAACAAAAAGGACTTCCCGTGTGGAAGGAATATGAGATTTCACAACACGATATTCACGCGCAGAAAACTTCGCATTTAATATGAAATACAAGTTTATAGGCTTATCAATTATTCCGACAGCGCTATCCAAATCATAGCAGTCTAATAAAAGCGTGATTAAAAAATATTGTATTATTCAGACCTGAAAAATACTATACCTGAATATTGTAGTCCTTCAGTGTTCTCATGATGTCATAAAGAAGACCTTTGTGGTCTTGACATACAATTTGAACAAGCGTGTGAGCAGGACTAAGCGAATTGTCCATCACAATAGAAACAGAATCAGTTGTGGAAGTCCCTCTTGGTATTGAATCAGGTGATTCCAAATCAAAGATATCTTCTGTGATTGCACTTGGAAGGAATGGAGATGCTTGAGAACAAGCAGTGATTTCCGGGCCAACCAATTCAATGTCAATGGTAACATAGGGATCTCCCAAAATAGCTGACAACTGTTCAATTGTGTCATCCTTTCTCTTCTTTGTATGTAGAAGTTCCCTGATTATATGTAAGATTAAACAGTCGGTTAGTTACTCCAGCAAAAACAGATGGAATTGTACTAAAAATAATGCACATTGCAAATCAGAAAATTAATCTCCATTCTTATAAAATGCATTTCCACATCCATAGGTTGGGGTTAAGATTTCCATGTTACCAATCAGTTTTATAGGATTGAGTTAAATTCAAACTCACATTCTAAGATCTATTTACCGATTCTTATATACTCTAATTGCTTTTAAGGTGAGGGTTTTCCCCCTTATATATTCTCTGTTTGCTGTCTTATCTCTAGTTGATATGTTATTTGGATTTTTCTCAACACACCTCTCACGGTAATGGTGCTTAAGCCCAACATCATTTGGTTTGATGTGTCTATAAATAGTGGATAGCCCTTTTTAGTGAGTTAAGTTTCTCCCGATGATAAATAAAGAAACTTCAATTGACATGAACTAGCACTTAGAAAGTACAAAATTACAGAGACAAACTTGTTCCAAAATTAAATGTTTAGAAATGTACAACCTGGTATCGGTGATGAAAAACAGATCCACTACTCTGCCATCCGGCGTAGTAGATACCTTCACTTTCTTTATGGTGAGCTCTAACTCACAAAGAACCTCGGTAACATCTGTCTCAATAATAGAAACATTGAGTGATGCTATGAAACCATGGATAATATAGTTGGGCAGATAAGTTGTAACAAATAATATAGTATCTAGAAAGCATGGAAAAATTCAAAGAATCCAAGAATAAGACAGGAAGATAGAAAGTAGAAACCCCAAAAGTGCAACAAGTAGTAATAGAAGAGTAGGATTGAAAGATTACCATGTAAAAGTCCTTGACGATCATGGCAAGAGAATTTTAAAAGGAAGACATTGGGGGGCTGAGGAGGCTGCACCTCAGAACGGTAATAGGAAATTCCAGAAGCTGAGGAACAAGAAGGGCATGCCTGAATGAGCCTCTTCTTCAACAAACTCCACCTGGTCCTCTGCTTCCCCACCACCCAGAAAACTATGTAGCACCATTTTCCGTCGGTGGAGACGTCTTCATTAAAAAAAAAAAGGAATCAGCGAAGATAGATAAAGAAAGAGGAGACTTGGCAGATGGAAATCCATATGGGGCGGTTGGCTTACCTCCTCGGACAATGCTAAGACGAAAGAAGAGAATGATGCGACACAAATCGCAACCTAGACCGGTCTTGTCGGGGCAGTTAACGGTTATGACGGTGGTTTCACCTTCTTTCTCTGCCTCTCTGATAAGCACCACATCGTCCTGTAGTATTCCCATGATGTTCTTATGATGAAGTTGCTGCTGTAACTGGAAAAAGATGAGAGAGAAACAAGAGAACGGAACTTGTTTCGTTTACTCCTTCATACTGCTAGTCACTGTTTCTTTGTCCTCTTTCGGTCTTTGTTTAGAGAAATTGGACCCAGCGACCGGCTGTTGGGAGAAGCACTGGTTTATATGACTAGTAGAAAAAACATCTCGTCAAATTACATTCCTCGCCTTCTACTCTCTTAAATTTACACTCACTCTCGAATCTAATGGAATCTTTTTATAAAATATAAAATTATAACGGATTATTAACTTTTTTTAAAAGTAAATAGTTTCATTTTTATCTGATTCGATTGTATCACTTTAACTTATTTTCTCTTAAAGAATCAAACCCATTTACAAAAGTGATTTCATTAATCATTTTTATAAAGTGATTTAGTTTAGTTTTTAGTCTAATTCGGTTCAATTTTGAATTTTTGGCACTGTTCTATTACCGGTTGTTTGAGGTACAGTAAATGGCGACTAAACATGTTTAGTAATACTTAATGCACGCACAAGAGGAGACAAGGACATGTTAGTACGCAACCATGCCTACTTCGTGTAATTGGATTCCAACGTGACATAAAGAATCAGTGTATTTAGACTTTAAAAAGTAAGGTAAAGAGGCTTTGTTGTATGCTTTTTTTTTATTTTATAAAACGTGTTTTTTTAGGAACGGGATGCAGATATTAATAAGAAATAGTACTTTATAAGTTTTGATTTTTTTCTTATCAATTATAACTATTGCAAAATTATTCATATTTGTTACCTGAATTCGTGAGTACTTCCACAGTGATGCTTTTCGTACTTCAATATCGGTGATAACACTTGCAAAGACTATTGCTTAAATTAGATGAAAGTTTAGGTTAAAATATGGCTAAAAATAAAATAATATCTAATAATCCTTAAATATTAAGATTTTGTTATTTGAATTAGAAGATATTTTATCTATTAAATAAAGGTAATATGTCTAATTACAATAATTTAAGATTTTTAAAAGATATTTATGTAAAGATATTTTTTTGCTAGTCATTAAGAATTGGATTAGAGGCCTAATATGAATGAGTAAGAAAAGTTTAGTTCAACCTAACTAAACTAGGTAGTACAATATTTTTAAAAGATTTTTATTTATTATTTTATAATTTTTAAATAAAATTATTAAATATAATATATTTTTTTACTATGTTAAGATATAATAATGACTACCAAATCTTTTCAAACCTAAATCACTTTATTTCGATGTCTACAATCTTACATTTAGAGATGACAAAATAGTAAGATGACAAAATAAGTTTTGGTCTATTGACCATCAAAAATTAGCGAGTTGGAATAGGTATCTTAACCCACATGATTTGTCTTGCCAACTAGTCTAATTTTTTTATTATTTATAATGTTAAGTTTAAACAAATCACATGAAATTTATTATTTAAGTAATTTGTAATTTGTTATGTAGTAAATATGTTATGCATTTAATTTATTATGTGTAATTTGATTTTTTTTGCAGTAAATTTGTTAGAATAATTATAATTACTATAATTATATATCTATTTTATTGTGTAACAAATTTGAGATTTTGTTGGATAATAAATTAAACTAAATCTATCATAATTTAATATTTATTTTATCATTTAGGTAGACTAATTTATTTTAATTTATCTGAGTCTTTAAATATTGAGAAATAAATATGTATAAGAGGTACCCAGAATAAATATGTAAACAATTTTTTTTTTGCAATCACTAGAGTCCAGTTCATTTTTACTTGACAGACCTAATCCATTTTTAACAAGTTGACAATAGAATAATGATAAATGAATCGAATTCATTTTGTTATGATAACATTAACCTTTATACTAATAAACTAAAAATTAATACACTACTAATACATCACTAATAATTTTAAATAATATTATTTTTATTTTTTATAATAATTATCTTAAAAATTATACTAGTAATACATAAGTTATTTCGTTAGGAGCTAAAATTAAAAAAAAATTGATTAAATTTAAAATTTTGAATGAAATCTTAAAACAAATAAGAATTTTTTAAAAAAATTTAATTTCAAAGATTGATATAAGTGGTAATTTACTCGAATTTTATTAACTTCTTAAATTTTTTGGAAAATTGAAGAGAAAAAGGGCGTGGCTTCCTGGAAGTTTCATAAAGTTGCGGAGAAGTTGGAAGAAGGAGGCATCTGTGCATGCGCAGAAAGCGTTTGAATATAAAACTATTAAAAAATGAAAATGAAAATAAAATAATACAGCCACATCACATGACGACTTACGAGTTTTTTCCGACCAAGCAAGGACGTGTTTGGTTTAATTTGGTGAAGTCTCATATGTTATTTGAATTCCATGACATAAGACTTTACGAGTGTTTGGTGTTTACATTTCGTCAAATTCAACGGTGTCAATTGAAGCCCTCCCCTCCTAATTTCCTATGTTTACACATCAACATGTGTAAAAGCTATACATAATTTCATATTTGTCTTTTTAATTAAAAATTATACTTCAATTCCTATTTGAATTAAAGGTGTAAAGAGATCCAATTAGGTCAATTTTACATTATTTTAAGTATTCATTTTAATTAAATTTAATTAGATGGATTTGAATTGAGTTTGTGAATAAGGTTGGATTAAATTGAGTCATCAAATTGAATAATTAAGAAATATATATATTTTTAAAAATTAAAACAAATAAAAATAAAAAATAAAATATTTAACTCAATTTTTAATATGTATATAATTCAAAATACAAATGACATTATATCAATCATATATAAAAAAAATTATAAATATTTCAAATAATCAAATATCATGTCATTAATGTAATAAATTTTGAATTATTCAAAAAATAAAATAAATAATTCTTTTTATTTTATTCTTTCTTCAATTTAATCAGATATCTTATTATTACAATATATGGTAAAATAATAAATTTAATATATACATAAGAGTGTATTATGAATTGTGTTGTGTGTGATAATTTTAATTTAATTTAATATATCTATTACAAGTCAGATGATTTGAACTCAACCCACAAAAATATAATTAGATTGAATATATATATATATAATAATTCTCAATATAATCATATGACCTAGTGTTGGTCAAACACACCTACACAAGCTACACACAATAGCATTGTCATTAGTAAAAGATCATGTCACTTGTTAACAACAGCTCCTTAAGTTTAACCTTGATTTATTCTCGTACAGTGTATGATTATCGTAATTCAAACCATAATGAAAACATAAGGGTAAGTTCTAATTCCAAAAATGTAAGTACAGAAAGCAATTATATAACTTATAATATCGTAGCAAACACATACATGCATGCCAACACTCTAAGTAAACATGTATCTCATTTACAACATGTTAAGCAAGAAATTCAATTATGCACATGATCACCCCACATAGATATATCATATACAAACATCTCAACTAATGTATCGTCACACATACACCTATGGAGATTTTCTAACGACATCAGTAATTTAGGTGACTCTATCCTACCAAACCAACCCAATCATTTTTGTATCCGAAGTGTAGGCTCAATCACAACAAAATGAGATATCAATCCCTCATTTGATTTATCGGATATTGTCACTCACATTAAAAAAAAATATAGTTTCATCATTGAGAATGGTACAATTGGGTATATGTGTTGACATGCATTATTAAGTCACTTGTAGAGTTAGCCCATTGACCATTCTTAAGGAACCACGCAATATTTCTAAGTACTTGGCTAAGGGTTGTAACCATTAACCTTTTACTATACTCAACCACTAACTAAAAATCTAAAGGAGACTCAACACCTCAAAACCCAATACATGAAACACACCTACTCAAGAAGCATTTTCCAACAATGGCTTACATAAGCACCATTCCAAGATTCCCTGTATGGGATTTTCAGTTTTCAAAACAATTTTCACTCCTCAAATTTTAAGTTGGCCAACATGTTTTAATATCATGCCACATTCTCAACATTTACATCTCGCCATACATGAACTATATACATCACATCCAGTCAGTGCATATCGAGATCAACAACAACATCATCCACACATGACATTTTAATACTCTCCAAACTCATAAACTATACAAATGTATAACACACAAATACTCACTATCATCCAACATCATACAAACATCTATACGTAACACATGTCATATTAAATCAATAACAATCATCATACATTATGCAATTGTCTATATATGTCATATATAATCAACATATATAGAACAATCTTCATGCATCATACAAGTTCACTAGAACAACAAAATATCACTCATAGTAATTCGCATATTAATGATTTATGGGACCTCATTGTCACAGTCCATCTGACACAGACCCATAAAAAAATTATTAAAGCATGTGAGTTCAGAATTTAGACTTTTGGAAAACCTACGATTATAGTAATTATTTTTTAGAAAATTAAAATAATTTTAATGATTAAAAGTTTAAAACCAACCGACTCTATTTCTCTAAAATTAAGAATACTTTTTTACAATTATAATGAATTAAAATATAATTTATTATATTTACTCACTGTAAACCTTTTATTTTAGTACTTGCCTATATTATTTTATGTATTTTAGTGAACTTTTTTCTAATATTTTATTCCTTATGTCATTATTTTGTACGAATTTTACATTGTTATAAAATTAACAATAGAAACAAAAAAATGTTTGTATAAGAATTAAAATATTACCTTTTAAGTACGGATATAAATTAAAACATTAGTCGAAACCTAATTTTAATTATCTTTATAAAATAAATTAAAAATAAGATATACATTGATAATATAACTATTTTACATTCTCGTCCAATTATAAATTATCATTTATGAAAAATTTAATAATAACTATTTTATAAAAAATATCTATCAAACATGACTTCTAACCTAAATTATATGTTCATTAAACTCAAATAAATTTAAGTTAAATTATATTTTTGTTTTTTTTTATTTTTATCGATCCATATTTCAATTTTGTTATCTTAAAATAAAAATATTTAACTCTATTATTTTAAAGAAGAGTGCCTGATTTAGATTTTGAAATAGTTATTATAGAGATAAAATAAAGTTAAATTATAGGTACACTAAAACTTCATATTCATATGTATCTAGTTATAGGCAAATTATTC